TGTAAGTTAGAATTCACCTACCTGCTTATGGTGATCAGAGAAGTTGCCCAGTTAGGTGAGATGACTAAGAAGTTTCAAACAGGGAGAAGAGATTTTTTTTAAATGAATTTTATTTTTCAGATCACATTTAGGTTCACAGCCAAATTGAGCAGGAAGTACAGAGAGTTCCCACATAACCCCTGTCCTCATCCATGTACAACTTCCTTTACTTTGAACATCACACACCGTAGTTTAGTAGATTTGTTATAATCAGTGAACCTACATTAACACATCATTATCACCCAAAGTCCATAGTTTATATTAGGGTTCACTGTATATTCTATGAATTTGGACAAATATATAATTACTTGTATCTGCCATTTCAGTATCATATTAAATAGTTTTCATTGCCCTAAAAATACTCTGTGCTCTGCCTATTCATCCCTCCCTTCTCCCTAACTCCTAGCAACCACTGATCTTTTTCCAGTCTTTGTAGTTTTGCCTTTTGCAATCTCTGTAGCTTTGCCTTTTCCAGAATGTCATATAGTTGGAACAGTATAGTATGTAGGTGTTGATTTAGTAATCTGCATTTAAATTTCCTCCATGTCTTTTCATGGCTTGAGAGCTCTTTTTTTTTTTTTGCTATAGGGCATGTATACTGACTGGAGAGAGAAAGTGAGAAAGCATGGGGGTTGGGGGAGGATGCCCACTCTACAGTCCTTTTTCTTTATTCTCCTCTCAGGATTTTGGGCATGCACACACACATACTTGGCATATTTTCAGACTGCCAGGTCTAGGACACAAGCTGCTCAGTCAGCTATATGGAATCCAAATGCCTTAACCACCATGCTACTGGCTGGCTCTGATGTAAGAAAGCTCATTTCTTTTTACTGCTGACTAATATCCTATTGTCAGGATGTACCACGGTTTATTTATCCATTTACCTACTGAAGGACATCATGATTGCTTCCAAGTTTTGATTATTACTGGAGCTGCTATAAATGCCTTTTTACAAATATTTGTGTGGTCATAAGTTTTCAACACCTTTGGGTAAATTACCAAGGAGCAGAATTGCTAGACCAATGGAGTATGAATAATTTTGTAAAAAATTGGGACCAGGGGACCAGCAGTTAGCGTAATGGCTATGTCGCTGGACTCCCACATAGTCGACCACGGTTCGCGTCCCAGACCTGGTGGCTTAAAACTCACGCCAGGCACATGTGCGTGCGTGCCCAAGATCCCGAGAGGAGAGTGGAGGAGAAGGGATTGCGGCGTGACCATCCCCCCTGGGGGGTGATTTCTCGCTTTCTGTCTCTATGTCTCTCTCTGTCTCGCCCTATAGCAAAAACCTCTAAAAAAAAAAAAGTTGGGACCAGCAGTTGGTGTAATGTCTATGTCGCTGGACTCCGTGTAGTCGACCACAGTTCAAGTCCCAGACCTGGTGGCTTAAACTCACGCTGGGCGTGTGTGTGTGTGCTCAAGATCCTGAGAGGAGAATGGAGGAGAAGGGATTGTGGCGTGGCCATTCTCCTGAGGGGTGATTTCTCACTTTCTGAATCTCTGTCTCTCTCTCTCTCTGTCTTTCTGGTGAGCGCACACACCCTATAGCAAAAAGCCCTCCAAAAAAAAAAAAAAAAACCTACCAAACTGTTTAACAAAGTGGCAGTACCATTTTGTATTCCATTAACAATGAGTGATAGTTCCTATTGCTCCACATTCTCACCAAAATTTGATGCTGACAGTAATAGGGATGTAGTGATAACTCATTGTTGTTCTAATTCTTGTTCCCTAATGAGGATGCCTTCATATGCTTATTTGCCATGTGTATATCTTCTTTGATGAGGTATCTATTTTGTCTTTTTTTTTTTGGAGAGGTTTTTCGCTATAGGGCACGTGCACTGGCCAGACAGACAGAGAGAGACATAGAGACAGAAAGCGAGAAATCACCCCCCAGGGGGGATGGTCATGCCACAATCCCTTCTCCTCCATTCTCCTCGCGGGATCTTGGGCACGCACGCATACGCGCCTGGCGTGAGTTTTAAGCCACCGGGTCCGGGACGTGAACCGTGGTCGACTACATGGGAGTCCAGCGACATAGCCATTACGCTAACTGCTGGTTCCCTATTTTGTCATTTTTTAATTGGATAGTTAATTTTCTTCTTTTTTTATTTCTACTTTTTTTTTTTTTTTGAGAGGTTTTTGCTACAGGGCATGTGTGCTCGCCAGAGAGACAGAGAGAGATGGAGAGACAGAAAGCGAGAAATCACCCCCCAGGGGGGATGGCCATGCTGCAATCCCTCTTCCTCCATTCTCCTCTCGGGATCTTGGGCACGCATGCACACGTGCCCGGCATGAATTTAAGCCACCGGGTCAGGGACTCGAACTGCGGTCAACTACATGGGAGTCCAGCGACATAGCCATTATGCTAACTGCTGGTCCCAGGATAGTTCATTTTCTTATTGTTGAGTTTAATAGTTCTTTGCGCATTTCATATAGCAGTCCTTTTTGCAAATATTTTCTCCCAGTCCATGGCTTGTCTTCTTAACTTTACAGAGTAGTTTTTAATTTTAAATAAGTCCAGCTTACCAGTTATTTCTTTCATAGGTTGTACCTTTTGTGTTATATCTAAAAAGTCTTCATGTCCAAGGTCATCTAGGTTTTCTACTACTTATTATGTAGCTATAGTTTGGCATTTTACATTTAGCTCTATAATCCATTATGAGTTCATTTTTGTGAAAGATGTAAGGTCTGTATCTAGATTCATTTTATTTATTTATTTTTTTACAAGTGGATGCTAGTTGTTGCACCACCACCATTTGTTGAAAGGATTGTCTCTTTTCCATTGTATTGGCTTTGCTCATTTGTCAAAGTTCAGTTGACTCTATTTGTGTGTTTCTATTTCTGGACTTTCTGTTCTGTTCCATTGATCCATTAGTCTTTTTTTTTTTTTTTTTAAGAAATTGTTTGTATAATAGAAAAGAAAAAAGACCATGTAGACTGTAGATATAAGTAGATTTTCCCATTTCAGATGCTTTTAAAAATAGGTTCAGGATATAACAGAGGCACCTTACAATTTTTTTAAAGAGGTTTTTGCCTTAGGGAGCAGGGAGCATGTGCTGGAGAGACAGAGATAGTGAGAGGGAAAGTGAGAAATCACCCTGGGGGGTGGGGGATGGCCATGCCGCAATCTTTTCTCCTCCTGGGATCTTGGGCACACATGCACGCACATGCACCCAGAGTGATTTTCAAGCCACCAGGTCTGGGACTCGAACTGTGGTCAGCCACATAGGAGTCCAGCAATGTAACCGCTACTTCATCTGCATGAAATTATGAAATTTAACATAATGGTAACACTAGCAACATTTTCTTAAAATGTCTTTTCCAGTTTCACATTGATTCCAGAAAAGATCGACCTTTCTCTTAAGATATAGTAACATCAGAATGTCAGTTGTTTAACACATGAAGATAAACTAACATGTTGTAGAGCTAGAAAGTCTGCCTTATGTCCGTTTTGCATTAGTTTTTAAAAGTATAAGCAAAGAAATCTGAGTGTATGGTGAAATTCTATAGGTATAAAGCTGACATATACCTCAAATTTTCATTTACTCAGAGGACAGTGGTGGAACAGTGAATTATAACAATTCTGTGGACTTATGGGGCACAATGAAAACATTATATACAATAGATCCTGTGTAGATGTTCAGTGTTTCATGAAACCTTAAGGTTTCAGGGCTTCATGAAACCTTATATGATAATTTCTTCCATATTTCCAAATAGCAAAATATTACCATTGGTACTTATTCACATTGACTATACATGCATCTTTCTTAGTAAGGCACATGACATTATTCAAACTAAGCTTCTGTAGAGAGTAAATCTTAGATTATTTTCACTCCCACTCTCTAAGAGAAATCTGCTTCTGCCAGTTGTCATTCCAGTCCCTTCCAGACCTGTGGTAAGCTTGTATGCTGACTGGCTACTTTCAGTTATATAGTCAAAACAGCATTATTCTTTCTAGTAAGACCTTGGAGGGTATTGGATAAGAGTGTGAGCTCTGGAGCCACACTTCTTGAGTTTATGTCTTATTGTCTTCTAGTTTGTGACCTTGGGCATGTTACTTAACTGTTCCGTGCCTCAGTTTCACCCTGTTTAAAATGTCGATATAGGGGCCAGCAGGTAGTGTGATTGAGGCACTGGACTCCCACATGGCTGATCATGGTCTAAATTCTGGACCCAGTGGCTTGAAACTCACACTGGGCATGTGTGTATGCATGCCCAGGGGCCCAAGAGTAGAGTGGAGGGGAAAGGATTGTGGTGTGGCCATTCCCCCTGGGGAGTGATTTCTTGCTTTCTGTCTGTCTCTCTCTCTCTCTGTCTCTCCAGCGAGCACATATGCCCTATAGTGAAAATCTCTATAAATAAATAAAATGTAGGTATTAATAGTAACTATATCATAGGGATATGAATGTAGCTGTTAACTTTAAAAAGTGCCCATTCAGGAGGCTGGCAGGTGGTGTGGTGGTTAAAGGCACTGGATTCCCACATGGCTGACCACAGTCCCGAACCTGGTGGCTTGCTTTCTCACTTTCTCTCAAACTCTCTTTCTCTCAAATAATTAATAAAATTAAATAATTCTTTTTAAAAAGTGCCCATTCGGGGCTGACAGTGGTATGGTTAAGGCTCTGGACTCCTACATGGTTGGCTTGGTTTGAGTCCTGGACCTGACTTTCTCATTTTCCCTTTCTCTTTCTCTGATCTAATTAAAATATAATAATAACAAATAAAATTAAATAAACAATTCTTTTTTTAAAAGTGTACCTGTTCAATGGTGAGTGTTCTATAAATGTTATTTCAATTAGTCAACAAATAGTTATTGAATGCTAGGCCCTGGCAATATGCTGATTATACCATGAGCAAGATTTGATCCCTGACCTTTTTACCAAGTATATGTTTTCTTGTGCTCAGTCACATTAACGTTCGTTGTGTTCATTTGTGTTTGGTTTTTGAATTTTGTTCTTTAGTTGAAATCAAGTGATTTTGCTGCCATGAAGCAGTTGCTGCCTCTGTTGGAGAAGGTCTCCACCACATACCCTGACCCCGTCATCCAAGAACTTGCCGTTGATCTCCGCATCACCATCTCTACACATGGCGCCTTTGCTACTGAGACTGTCAGTGTGGCTGCCCAGACTACCTTGAATAAAAAAAATCCAGAAGGGAAAATAGAAAAGCAGCAACAAACCAGTCATGGAAAATACACTGAAATAGCTAAGAGCCACCTCCAGCAACAGCAGAGCCATGAGAATCTCCCCCAAACAGGTCTGCAGTCTGATGCTTCATGTGTTCCTAAGGAGGTCAGTGAGCCCAGCACTCCTACACACCAGAAATCTGAAAGCATAACCACAGAACAGCTCCAGGAGGTTCTCTTATCAGCTTATGATCCTCAAATTCCAACACGGGCTGCTGCCCTGCGTACTCTTTCCAAGGGCTGCTGCCCTCCGTCCTCTTTCCCCTTGGATAGAGCAGAGAGAAGCAAAAGCCCTGGAGCTACAAGAAAAGCTTCTCCAGGTAAGCAGAATGCACTACAAAGCCACATGGGTGCACGGCAGGGCAACTGTCCAGGAGCATTAATTCAACCCAAGTATTTTTGGAGTCTGGACAATCTGTCAGGCATTGTCCTAGATTACTCTCCAGGAACTTGTAGTCGTTCTGAGGAGGGAAGACTTAGACATAGGAAAGACTTAGATGACTACATGAGACCACTCAATAGAACATGATCAGGGCTCAAGTTTTTAGAATAATTTTATTTATTATCATTATTATTATTTTAAATTTGCCACAGGGCACATGCACTCACCAGAGAGAGCCAGAGATAGAGGGAAAGTGAGAAAGCAAGCCACCAGGTCGAGGACTTGAATCACGGTCAGCCATGTGGGAGTCCAGCACCTTAACCACCTTGCCACCTGCTGGTCCCAGGGCTCAGAATTTTTACTTGCAAGCAATGCTGTGGATAGTCAGGAAAAAGAGAAAGTTGGAATCTGCTGGAGGAGGTAGATTTTAACATGGTCCTAACAAACTGGTAAATCTTCAACAGGTAAAACAAAAGTGAGGTAGAACGGCATGAGCAAATTCCCAGAGATGAGAAAGTACCTTTTTATGGTGAATAGGTCTACTTTCAATTCTGTGACCCAGCCCAAGTAAACCACCTATTTTCCCTGGGCTCATTTTAGAGATATACTAGGCAAGGCTGGGTCTCCTCCCCGCTCCTCTCTCCATCAGAATTAAAAAGCTATTTAAATTGTAGATTTATGTGATAAAATACAGAGAGACTTCAAAAAGTTTATGGAAAAATGGAATTAAAATATGAGTTTATTTTGGTGCAAAAAATGTGAAATTCATGCATTTTTAAAAATAAAATGCATTTTTCATGAACTTTTTAAAGATCCCCTTGTTGTATGGTTAGTTTGTGATCTTTTGCCTTTGGTGGACATTGTGTTGACCTCAAAATGGGTTAGAGTTTAAGAGCAAGGGGTCTGTCTAGCAACTATTGCCTGGGATCAAATCTCTGATTAGTTACTCAAACTTACTGAGCCTCAGTGATATTGATGATGGTCTCTTCTATACATCCTAGCCATTGGACTGAAAATTATAATTCTAACTGAAAACATTTTTTTCATTGTCTCTCAAGTAATGGAAGCAGGTGTATAACAATAACTATCATTTATTGAGTCAGGCCATACACATTACAGATGTTGTCTCTAATCCTTGTAACTATTGAAATATTGATATTCCTCTCTCTTTTTTTTTTTTTTTTAATAGTTTTTGCTATAGAGCGTGTGCACTCGCCAGAAAGACAGAGAGACAGAAAGCAAAAGCTCTCCCCCCCAGGGAGGATAGCCACGCCACAATCCCGTTTCCCCCATTCTCCTCTCATGATCTTGGCATGCATGCACATGCATGCACACTACATGGGAGTCCAGTGACATAGCCATTACACCAACTGCTGGTCCCAATGTTCCCATTTTAAATATAAAAAAAAAAAAAAACCAAACCACAGGGGCCAGCAGGTGGTGTGGTGGTTAAGGGTGCTGGACTGCCATATGGCCAACTATGGTTCAAGTCCTGAACCTGGCGGCTTGCTTTCTCACTTTCCTTCTCTTTCTCCCTTTCACTCTGTCCCTCTCTGGTCATATTAAAAATAAACAAATAAATAAATGAAGTCAAATCAAAAAATTAAAAAAAAACAACAACACAGCACAGATGTGCCAAGAATAATTACTATTATGTACCCTGAGGGGCCAGTGGGTGTGTGTGTGCCAAAAATCCTGAAAGGAGAAACGGAGAAGGGATTGCTGTGTGACCATTTCCCATGGGGTGTGCTTTCTCACTTTCTGTCTCTGTCTCTCTCCAGCAAGCACATACACACTCTAGCAAATTAAAAAATGATAAGGGGGCCAGTAGATGCCATAGTGGTTAAAGTGCTGAACTTTTTCACATGGCTGACTGCAGTTGAAGTCCCAGATCTGATGGCTTGAAACTCACGTCAGGTGAGTGTGCATACATACTCAAAATCCTAAGGGGAGAAGGAATTGTGACATGGCTATGCTCTCTGGAGGATGATTCTCACTTTCCTTCTCACTGTCTCTGTTTCTCTAGTGAGTGCGTGCATGTGCTGTATGACAGAAACCTTAAAAAAATGATGATGATAGGGCCAGCAGGTGGTGTAGTGGTTAAGGCACTGGACTCCCACATAGCCAACCAAAGTTTGAGTCCTGGACCTGGCAACTTGCTTTCTCATTTTCTCTTACTTTTCTGAATCACTCTGTTGAGGGCACATCCGCTATAGCAAATTAAATAATGATAATAATAATAAATAAAATAAATAATTATTTTTTTAAAAAAAGTACCTTGATAAGGGTCAGTCTGTGGCCTGGTGGATAAGGTGGCTGGATTTCCACATGGCCGACTGAGGTTTGAGTCCTGGACCCAGCAGCTTGAAGGACACACCAGGCACTTTCGTGTGCATGCCTAAAATCCCAAAAGGAGGGAGAAATAGAGGAGAAGAGATAGTGGCATCACCATTCCCCATAGGGACTGTTTTTCTTTCTTTCTTTCTTTTATAAGAATTATTTTATTTAACTTTATTTATTTATTTATTTGTTTATTTTAATTTGACCAGAGAGGAACAGAGTGAGAGAGAGGGTAAGTGAGAAAGCAAGCTACCAGGTCCGGGACTCCAACTGCAGTCAGCCATGTGGGAGTCCATCACCCTTAACCACCACACCACCTACCAGCCTCTTCTTGTTTTCTCTCTCTCTCTCTGGTGGGCACACACACCCTCTGGCATATTAAAAAGATGTATTTTGGGCCAGCAGGTGGTATGGTGGTTAAGGCACCAGATTCCCACATGGCTGACTGTGGTTCCAGTTCTGGACTTGGCGGCTTGCTTTCTCACACCCCACCCCAGCCCCATCTCTCTTGGTCAAATTAAAATATAATAATAATAAACAAAATAAATTATTATTATTATTATTATTATTATTATCATTGTAGAAGTTTTGGCTATAGGGTGCATGTATTTGACAGAGAGACAGAGAGACAGGACTCAAGAAATCACCTACCCAGGGGGGATGGCCA